TTTCAGCGAAGTTGGTGTGTTTCCTCAAAAACATATCTTCCTCTATACACTTCTCATGCAGCTTATATTTCATGCAGCTCACTATTTTTATTAAGCTACTACAGTAAATCCTATTTTAATGTTAAGTACTTTTATTAAAGGGAAAAAAGTTTTTTTTTATAAAATCATTGTTTCATTGACATTTTATTTTACATATCTAAACTTGGACTTCACAAAAGAAAACGAATATTCCATTAGTGAACATTTTCCTGCACTGTAAGATTTAATTTTGAAGTTAATTTAATAACAAATTATTTAATTAATTAATTTAATTTGAATTACTGTACGGTAGTAAAATAAAACAAACCACCACATACGTGATAATAAAATAGTGCATTATCTATAAAAGCAAAATTGGAACATACCACTATGTCTGAATCATTGAAAGGTACAGAGGAGCAAGACTATTAAGGCATTTAAAAGCCAAGGGAAAGATTGCTCTACACAGGCAGCGATTTTAGTAGAATTTCAATATGTGTGGTAAAGTACTTTTTTTCTTGTTAAGACATCTTGTTGCTGACTTTTTAAAGTATGGCATATTTTTTTAAAAGAAAATCAATGTTTTTTTCTTTCTTTGTTTTGCTTTATGTTCTTTTTTCTAAAGTCCATCAGAGTGTCTAGACGGGTTTACATAAAAAAACAATTGCTTCCTGTTTTGCTGGGCATAAATATAAAGTGCCATTTCTCTTTAATGCTCTCAAAATAAAACATGAACATACTTTTCACATAAAGGATATTGGCTGTTTGGGTTCATAAGAAAGGAAATAGCAACAAGAAAATAGATTATTTTCTTAACTTGCACGTATCTACAGGCGGATCAATAGTTGGAAAATAGCATTTAAAAAAAGGAATAGTAACCAGCAAAGCTGGACAAGGACTGCAGTCTTTTTCTAATGACACATACAGGGCAATGATGGACGGTAAAAAAGAAGAAACAATACAAATAGGGAAAAAACAGTCCTCTAAAAAGAATATTGATTAATGATTAATTTATTTTTATGAAAGGAATTTAAAAATATATATATACATATTTCAATTTTTTTTTAAACCTTATCTCTGCACATACTCTGGAGATATGCTTTCATTAGTTGTTTACCAGTATTTTTTTCACCTAGAAAGACCCCCATTCCTCCTGCAACATCAGATTCTCCATGCCTCATTCATCCTTCCATTTGTGCTGAACAGCATTTTGCTTGCATTACATCTCCAATGTTTATGGATATGCAGGCATTAATGTTGAACAGTTTGACAAAGCATATTTGATATCTCTCCTTCACTGTCTCATAAATCAAAAATAGCACTTTATTATATTGGCAGCATAGGAGATATTGACATGGCATTTTGGTGGCATTATGAAGCCAGTTTAATATCGCCTTATTGTGTTGTAACGGCATCAAATCGTACATCATCTCAGGCATGAGCCGAAACACTAAATGCTTCACCGAGCTGATGCTCCAACTTTATAAAGGTTAGCTCTGCGTAAAAATGATAACGACTTAAAGACATGGAGTTCATGAATGCAACGCAGATTGTCTTATTTCTTCCTGGGGAATGTAAAACTTTTATCATCTACAAATGATACTTTATATTCCTGTACCTAATAAATGGAACATTGGAAATGGCAGGCCTTGTGTTCTTAACATTTGTTTTACAGCACCCACCTGAGGCTAACATTGTGTTTTAGAACTGAGAATTGTTAACCCTGTAATGCCAAATGTATTGTATTTGATACATACGGTTTCTGAAATGTTTTGCATCTGACACCTTTTGCATAATTTAATGGTAAAAACTTTGCTCAAAATCCTATTGTACACAATCAGATACAGTATACCTGATAACAGAGGGCAGAAGACTACACAAAAAATAATCTTGACTTATCGCATAGTAATAAATTATTAATATCAAAAATGTATTTCTGATTTTTCTTTTTACATGTTTTGTTAAAAGGCCAAATAAGGACTTCAAACCTAAAAAAAGTAATTTTCTGTTTTGTTTTATTCTTGGATCGGGCTTTAAAGGGTTAACACACATACTGTAAAGCTGTGGCTCAACACTTCTATCATGTCTGCTGTGAGTTAAATACAGTTGAATTCGTACAGTATGCATAGCCTTGTGTTTTTTTAGTGTTTTTTAAAGGAATAGTACACCCAAAACATGATTAGCCTTCATTTTCTACTCACCCCCATGCTGAACAACACCCTGGAGTACCTTTTTGATATCTCAAATGCATCTGGAGATCTGGGAGGCTTCTTGCTGTCTGCTGACATTCAAATAATGGAGGTCCATGGTGCCCGAGGCAGAAAGGTCCCTAAAAGTCCACAAAAAACGTGTCAATATTCCTCCATACTGCTCGTCCAATGTATTCCAAGTGTCCTGAGTGGGTAGCGTCCATAATGTACTCGAAACAAAGTCATTTAGAATGTTTTTAGAGCATAAACAGTAGTGTATAGGATTTCCTAAAAGCGCGTTCACGAGTCTACGGAAACCGCGGCAGACCAAACCAGACGAAAGTGCGCATTCAGCTCGGCAAAGAACTCATGCTCTTCCTCAACACTGAAGTCCTCAGACATTTTTCTTTCGTTGTTTCTTTCTTTGCACAGGTAAACAGCACATTTCTTCTTCTACGCTTGCATTATCGGCAGAGCAGACGCTGAATTTCATCTGGTTTGGTCTGCCGCGGTTTCCGTAAACTCATGAACTCGCATGCGCGCGCGTTTAGGAAGTCCTATACACTACTGTTTATGCTCTAAAAACATTCTAAATGACTTCGTTTCGAGTAAATTATGGACGCTACCCACTCAGGACACTTGGAATACATTGGACGAGCAGTATGGAGGAATATTGGCACGTTTTTTGTGGACTTTTATGGAACTTTCTGCCTCGGGCACCATAGACCTCCATTATTTGAATGTCAGCAGACAGCAAGAAGCCTCCCAGATCTCCGGATGCATTTGAGATATCAAAAAAGTACTCCAGAGTGTTGTTCAGCATGGGGGTTAGTAGAAAATGAAGGCTAATCATGTTTTGGGTGTACTTTTCCTTTAAACTTAATTTTCAGTTTTTTTTTTTTTTTTAGAATCAATTGTATTCAGCCAGCTTATTTCTTTGTTCACAGCATTCATTATTACCTTTTTCCTTTATTAACAGAGGTGTGAAAAGTATTAACTTTTATTACTAAATTAGACGTAGAAATCCTACTGTTTAAAAACACTTTTGTAGAAGTTAGAGTATAACTTAAGCTTTTCACTCAAGTAAAAGTTTAAAAGTACATTTTTTTTTTTAAAACTACTTAAATTATAAAAGGTAAAGAAATGCAAGAAAAACTGTTAAGGACAGATTTTTTTACTGCAACAGCCAATAACATTTTTCCACAATGCTGGATGATAATTTCCCCAGTATACATTTTCATAAGTTTATTAGTTAGTTTTATAACTAATGGTAACAGTGTCAAATTAAACTTTGAATCATCTTAAAGAACTGTTTTTTTTTTATGTAGTGAACAACAAGTTGGAGCAGCGCCAACCACAAAAAAATGTATTGTCTGGATAAAACTACATATTTTGATGGCTTTCATTTTTTTTTTAAACACTAACAGGTCATAACGAAAATAAGCTTAAATGAAACAGAACTAAGTAGTCTATTTTTAAAATGTAAGAAGTAGAAATAAGAGATAATTCCCCCAAAAATGTAAGAGGTAAGTAGACGTATAATTTGTCTGAAACATAATAACTCCAGTAATGTATAGATAGCCTAAATGTCTACTTAAGATAAAAACTTGACACCTCTGTTTAATAACTTAAAATAAGTAAGAATATTATGCCTTTTAGCTGTTTATGAAAGCTCGGATGATGGTGACTTTAAATGCTTCTTTTAGATTGATTTACAACATTTAAGTTTATTAGAGGGCCATCTGTGGAGAGTATTATACAGTAGGACCCAAACACACAGCAAAAATTTGTTTATTTAACCATTAGGGCAAAGATAAAATCATGGCAATGTCCCTCCTTCACGCTCTAAAGAAAGCAGGAAATATCTCTGTAACATAGTTTAAATATGACGGTTGCAACTACAGTAGAGGGACATTGATAAAGTAGATAAAAGATATTGATACTGTCTATATGTTGTTTTCATTATACAGTAAATATAATGAAAGTAACAAATAGTCAGATGGAGAATTGAATTCAACTTTTTTGTAATAATCAGCTTTTTTAATAATCCATTTCATTCCAGTACTATAAAAGTATGTGAAGAGTCCTGAGATTGAAGGAGAGTTTCTTGAGTTTTGTACTGGATTTGTAGACTTTGAAAATGTATGTGCTCTTTTAAACACAACATACATCCAATTTAGTCGATTAAGCATTTAGACTGTTCTAAAAAAAAAAAAAAAAGATCTCTTAAGACTTAAAAGGTAAATCATCCAAGGAGATAATACATCTTACAACCAAATTAGCCAGAAAGTGACTTTTGGATAAAAAAAGCATTAATTTGTTGCAACTTTGATGACCTTATCTCAGTCCCATATAAGCTCGGTGCTGTGTGTTAGTAAGGCCTATTACCGGATTGAGAGACACTGGTTCTGACAGAAGAATTGGGGGGAAAAAATTCCAGAAATATTTTATAAGAAGCCAAAATGTTTTACCCAACTGTATAGGAAAAATTTTCTGAATATATCTCACTATTTTGCTGTTTAGCAAACTGTTGTGGTACCACTGAAGTCAGTAAGAACCCTGTTAGGAAGTTTATGTGAATATAAGGCTTCTTCTCTATTTTTTTATTACATAGTTTTGTAATTTAACATTCTATATTGTATGCTTGTTTGATTGTGTCTTCAAAAGTACAAATATTAGCACACACATTGTTCAATGTACATTCCGAATGTCTGTTTTGCCGTCTTGATATTGTTGGATCCCCTATGTAACCCACAAATCTGATATAACTTGATTGCTTTTCTCAATGTCCAGCTTCGTCCAGAGTATTGGAGCCATTATGCCTATGTTCCTGGTGCTGTCCTTCATGTACTCTGTGTGCATGATCATCAAAACTCTGGTGCTAGAGAAGGAGCTCCGGCTCAAGGAAGTGCTCCGCGCTGTTGGCGTTCAAAACGGCGCCCTCTGGTCTGCCAGGTTCACAGAGAACTTTGTTCTGCTCACAGTTCCATGCGCGCTCATAAGCGTCATGGTCAAGGTCAGTGGAACAGGGTTGCTAAATGGGAGGTATCAAAACACAAAGCATAACACTTGAAGATAATTTATGCAGTTTTTCAGAGCACACTTTAAGTTTACTACAAATTAATCTCACACAGGTCACAGAGGACAGCAAACTGTTTATGCTTTGTGTTTTGGTTCTTTTTCTACGTTAATCATAACTAATTAATGAGCAGAGAATCGGATCATTATCTGCAATTCTTCAAATCAGCCTTCATGGTCTAATTAATTAAGCATGCAACCTAAACTGCTCTTGTGTTTTCTCTGTTCCTGCAATCAGAGGATATAGTTGTAATTGCTTCTCTTCTTTTAATTTGGGAACTGAATGTTTGCTGCCACGTGTTTTTATAAATGCAGGCGAAATTAATTATCTTTTAGAGCCAGGACGTTGTACAGCACTCTAAAGAATGTTAAAAGTAATTTGTTTTGTTTTAATCATAAAGGGGATGCAACAGTGAGCGTATATTGACCTAAAAAAGAGAACACTTTTGAGAAGTTGAAACTGTTTAGAAAATATTTCCCCTGCTGTTTTTTTTTTTTTTTTTTTTGGAGATTTATAATATTTCACAATTACAATAACTGTAAGAAGAAAACAGCTTCATACTATCTTTGAAATCTCAAGGCCCTTTTTTCACTCTTGTATACAGCATACAGAATAAATATATGTAATAGATGACTTTAGAATTAAAATCATTGTTAATAATAAGTATTTACTAGCAAATGAAACGGTTGGACAAGTGTTTTTGGGCAATATCTGCACCCTGCCTACTTAAAAACAAATCATGTCATTGTTTATGTGCTCATTCGCCTTTTGTCATATATGTTAGTATTATTTATCTCTTCTAATAACATCCTCTTGGAACCTAATTAGTAATTAACCACAAGCTGTTGTTATATTAAAAGAAATCATGCCTTTAGTGTTCCACATGGTGAAGCTGCAGCACGACTCAACCCCTTCCTATGTTGCACATCCTTCAAAAAACTCCTTGTTCCTAAAGCACATTTAATGAAATAAAAATGATGGTTATTGTGGATGAATGTAATCAATTTGAGCAGTTTAATTGGAAAATGTGGCTGATAAATAAGAAACCGATACCAGAACAGCTGGGTTAAATGTAATTTCCCATCAGCCTAATGCGTTTGCCAGCTCTCAACAGTTTGTAAACATTAATAACAATAAATTGAGTTAGTTGCCTGCTGCTTAGGAGCCAGAGAGAAGCCTGTGCATTCAGATCACAGGACTATTCTAAATGATAATTTCACAGCCATTTTCAGCACATTAATAATAATGGTGAATCAAATGGTAATTATCAAAGGCTGGATCTGGATTAGGTCTGACAACAAGCAGTTTTGTCACCTGCACCTGAGTCCTCTGTCACTGTTCACTTGTTTTCTCTCCCATTATAGCAGATAAAGCTCTTATTGTTTGCTACGCAGCTGGATATACTCGCTTTTTACCCACCAACAGATCAATGCAGTGAACAACTTTTGATCCAATTTCACACAACAGAACTATCTATATGACATATTCATCCATGTCCACTTGATGATAAGCATTTTACCGCATTTATTGCCTTCTAATCTACTATATTTTCATTAAAGTGGAGAATACCAGCATATGTACCAAACAGCTGAAGAGCTAACAAGGTCTTTCTGCTCTTAGTCAAGTGACAAGACCAACATGTGTCCCTTCTACTGGCCCAAATGAACAGCCTTTAATAGAAAACTTCAAGACACCTCAATTACATGCTGTGTGGGAAGCAGTCCACTTGACGCAAGCTTCAAAGACAAAGGGAACTTTGTGTGACATTTGTGTGATAGACTGTTGTGTGACCCCCTCCTCACAACACCACTGCCACGGGTCTAACAAGTTATCAGTCTCCACCACTGACCTTTCTAAGCCAGACACTTCTCACAATGCGATTTCCAACTTGGCAGATGTAATTTCCCTTTGAAGAAATGCCATTTTTCATTTCACCTTTCTGTCAGTCACTGCACAGGAGGTTGAAAATTCTGCTAATTATTAGATTAATGCCTCGGTTAATGGTGAGCTCCTGATGCTTGATGTGGTTAATGTATGTTCTCAGCTGCATGTGTCTGTCTCGTCAAATTAAAGGACACATATCTTGGCCAGGTCTCCCTTGCAAAAGAGATTTTTAATCTCAATGGGTATTACCTGGTTAAATAAAGGATAAATAAAAAAAAAAAAAAATATGCTTTTCAATTCTCCCTTTTTTCATCTTTAAATCATTCATTTAGATCTTTATAACGTGTTTTGCTGTGATCCCTTTAAATCCAAAGGTACTTTACTTCACACCCCATCCCCTTCCAGGTTCCACTCCATCCCGTTCGGTTGAATTTGTAGTTAGACAACGCTAAGATAAGTAGAAGACATGACACAATGCTATAAAAAAAGTAATTAAGTGATAGCAACACATCTATAATAAAGCTTGATGTCATTTTAATGTTATCTGCATCATACCGCTTTGTTGTGTCCATCATTCCTGTTGTCAGAAAGAGAGACAAACAAAGTATTTCATTTAATCCTTTCTTCATAGTGGCCAAGGCTGTAAAAGCTTGTCCCCTGAAGTCTTTGGCAGATTCAAAAAGCATTTTCCCGGCTAATGTATGTATATTTCAATAAAAAAAATTATATTTAATCAGGCCTCTCAAAGAGGTGTTGCTCATGGGGGTTGGTGTAAAGATTTATCTGGGTTATTACACCCAGGAAATGAACATTTATATTAATCTACTTGCTTCTTTGGCATCTTTCAACTTGGACTGCTAAAATATTGTGAAAGGAAATTAATAGCCTTGTTTACCTTTTCCACAGGAAATATTGTGACATAATAGAAAACAAAACACAATAGAAGATAAAGGAGACAGAACAGACTAAAAAATATGACCCAGACAGCATCCAAGTATGGCAGAACAAGACCTGGCCAGACTAAAGAAAAAATTTTTGGGGATTTAGAGACATTAAGTACAAAAATAAATGTATTTTAAACTAAAAAAAGATTTTTTTTTTCGCTTTAAGATCCAAGAAGGATATCAGTCTAAGCCTAACTGTGTTCCTCTAAGAAACGTTCAGACCCTTTCCTAATTGCGTATTTTTGAGTTTGCTTGCTGGGCTAACAGCTAGTAGCAACACTTACTGATTTTTAACTTCTTTTTATTTGAATTCAATTTTTTTCATTTAAAAGCTGTTGAAATTTTTCCTGATTGGAGCAAATTTGTAAAAACGCTCCTGTCTGTGTCAAGCTGGTCACCTTCACTAGTTTACCAACTGATCTTTAACACGAAATCCCAGAACTTGTTCTAAAGACTGCCATTTTTTAAAGATTTGTTATGATGTTAAACATAAGAAATATATTTTGTTGTGAACCACAGTTGAAAAAAACAACACAATTTTCCTTAGTATCAAAGAACAAACCTGAATGTGCAATTTGTAGATTTGGAGGTCTTACACCTCTAAGTCTAGAAGTCACTATGTAGTCACTATGTCATAGTATTCACAATGTCTGTTTTTCTTTAAGAGATGGACTCATTAGAAGATCCTAAATATTTAAAACATCTCATTTTCTTTAACAGAGCAAAATAAATGTATACATAAATTATTTTATCCATCTGAGGTTTTATGAAAAGCTCCATTGGTCTTTAGACCGATAGTCTTAATTTGAAATTTTCCACGGGAAACATAAGGGATAATAAAAGGGAAACCCAGGTTAAATTGTCCCATTTCCTTATTTTTAATACACCAACATCAGCCCCCCCACCTGGACCCTTTGGGGGTTTTTTTATATAACAGGCGGACACTAAGGGTCCTTCAGGGTGGGGATTATTTCACCCCTTTCAGTTATTCTAATATACCTCCCCTTTATTCCACACTGATTTAAGAAATCAACAGGCCTGCAAGGTTTTTATTAACAAAATATTTTCCTAATGTACTTTGATGGAGAGACAACATTCGCTTGATGCACAGGCTGGATTTCTCGATACAATTTTTAGAGAAATTACTTAACAAAAAATTCGGAAAGGAAAATTAATTTTTTAGGGATTTAAAAAAAATTTTTTTAGTAAAAAAAATGCCAATACCCATGGGGGGGCGGTCCTCAGAAATAATGCCTGCTTTTGCAAAAGCTTGAAGAACAGAGCCAGCAGACACGTTATTCCTCGCTGCTTCTGCTGCACCTGCTGGGTCCGGTTCACACCCGATGTCGAGCGGTTGAACAGCGAGCACAGGGTTAATTTGTTTCCCCATGTTTTTCACATCAGCTGTGAGATGGGCACGCATGGAGTTACAGATTAATGGTGATGAGTGGAAAAAAAACAGCTGGTCTCCTTACATTCAGCCACTCTTTCATCATCTCCTCAATGGGGTGGTCTCAAAAGTCGCAGTTACAACACACATAGGGCGCACCGCACCAAAGGGCGCACCGCACATTTTGAGGGGGAAAAAAGACGTTCAAGTGTGCCTTATAGTCGTGAAAATACGGTAATTTGAATTTAGAACCTGGGTATAATGCAGGTAGTGGGATAATTAGGAAATGTACCCTGGTGTAAAGAGGGTCACTGTCCTTTCCAGTAATGCTCCTTCACCTTTCAGATTCCTCAGATCACTGGCCAGCTCTCTGCCCCTGTTCATGACCTTAGCGTGGGTTTATTCTGTGGCCATAATTGTTAAAGGCATTGTCGCTGAGAAAGAGGCGAGGCTGAAGGAGACTCTGAGAATCATGGGCCTGAGGAACAGCATCTATTGGCTGACCTGGGCAGTGTCCAGTGTATTGCTACTGGCCATCAGCGCTTCCCTTCTTACTCTCATACTCAAGGTGATTTAGGAATGTTTTTAAATGGGGCTATGACAGGACCTGACTCTTATTTTGGAGAGACTTTTTTTCAACCTTCAACCTTCTAAAAGATTTATCCTAAGTAGTACTTTGAATTTGGAAGATGATTCATACATCTCAATTGATCTTGATT